GAGTGTTCACATTTTGCAACTGAAACATTTCACTTATGTGGATCCAGTTTTTCATTGTTATCTAGTATGATCTAATCTGTCTAATTAAATCAAAGTAATGTAAATTATTTGTTAACATCTGAGCATAATAAGTGAAAGAAATGTTGGACTTACATGACATTATGCCTGGTGATCCTCACTGACACTAAAGTAATCTAGTTATTATACACAGTTGCACCCGTTAACGATGGCATCAGTTAGAAGATAAAATATTAACAGCATTCAAGTTTCATTTTCAGTTTCTTGACAAACACAATCATAAAAAATTATTGCTAGATATGGGATTGATATAAACAGTCTGAGCAGGCGAAATCATTTGATGTCAAATATTAACAAATCTAAGCAGATTACAGAGACAACGAACCATTGAAAAGAAGCTGCAGAGAAAATGAAGACGAGAAAGTCATTCAGCGCCACAATTCTCAGACAAAGCAGCTCAGACAGCTGGCAAAGCTTCAATCAGGACTAACTGTGGTTTGTGTCTGAAGACAATTTAAACTTCTCTTATCTCTCTAAATAACCTCAGCATACACAGGTGAGTACTTTTGGTTACACTTGTTGAGCAAGTTTAAGAGTAATATACAGTACAGGCCAAAAGTTTGGACACACCTTCTCATTCAATGCGTTTTCTTTATTTTCATGACTATTTACATTGTAGATTCTCACTGAAGGCATCAAAACTATGAATGAACACATGTGGAGTTATGTACTTAACAAAAAAAGGTGNAAAGATGTTAATTAAATAAGACAGACCTAAGACGAAGTCTCATATAGCAAAAGTTCAAATGAAAACACCTCTTGGGATGTACCACGGCTGGGAGGGGCCTTATAAATTTAATCTGTGGTAAAAACTGTACAGCTCTTGATTTTTTAAAAAGATACATTATATATTTTGGGTATTTTTTGAAAAATGTATTATTGTTTTATTTTTGATATTTTTTTCAAATTTTATTATTTTTTCATGCTTCTGACTGCTGCAATGTTTGATTTTACCTTTTCTTTTCTCTTACTATGTTTATTGTTGTGTAGCAAACATCAAAGTGAATAAACACAATCCTGATGCTGATGACTTATTTTAATCACAAATTCTGGTTAATTTCTGTATTGCTTCGCTTTCTTTTTATGTGCTCTGTATTCATTTACTACTTTTACTACTGGAGCACAACTTTGACCTGTCTACACGACCAGTATGTGCTCTAAATATAAACCACTGTTCCCCTACCTATCAGTAAATTGAAATATAAAGTTGAACAGTGGAAACACCAAAAACTGAGTGAGAAATGCCATCTTTATTTTAGCTTTCAGACTTGTACATGGATGTAAATGTGTATTAAATAAAATTAGGCTGATTGATGGATGGATTGATTAATTGATTGACTGATACAGGGGCTGATGGTGATGTTTGTTTGGTAATAAATGTACACAGCAGGAAGACAGGCTTTTGATTTAAGTTGTGTTGAAAAACAAGAGAATTCATTTTGCAACTCCAACATGTCACTAATGTGGATCCAGTTTTGCATTGCGAACTAACTATCAAATAATCAATTGAATGTAATGTATTGGTTGTTTTTATTGCCTGAGCATTGCTAAATAAAAGAAATGTTAGACTGACATGACATTTTGCCTGCTCATTGTCATTTACACTGCAGTAATTCAGTGATCTCCACAGGACGTGGCTTTAGACCAGGGTATGATTCAAGCTGTGCCCATTGTTAACCACAGCATCACAGTTAATAGATAACGTATACAATAAAAAAGGCATAACAGTTTCATATTCAAGATCTTGACAAACACAATCATAAAAAATTTATTGCTAGATATGGGATTGATATAAACAGTCTGTGCGGGCGAAATCATTTGATGTCAAATATTAACAAGTCTAAGCAGATTACAGAGACGATGAACCATTGAAAAGAACCTGTAGAGAAAATGAAGACGAGAAAGTCGTTCAGCGCCACGATTTTCAGACAAAGTAGCTCAGAGAGCTGGCAAAGCTTCAATCAGGACTAACTGTGGTTTGTGTCTGAAGACAATTGAAACTTCTCTTATCTCTCTAAATAACCTCAGCATACACAGGGGAGTACTTTTGGTTACACTTGTTGAGCAAGTTTAAAAGTTATACACATCAAGAGGTGGAAACAGCCAAACTTTATACCTGTTCATTTCTGTTGTAATCACAATTTTGCATTTTCTGATTAGTGCAGGTGGGATAGGCCGATAGCATTCTGTCAAACATGTATAAAGCACAATTGGAATATTTACCTTAATTAGAGTTTTTAAAGTAGTTTGTGATGCAGGGTCTCTTGTCTGTTTTCAATCAGCTCTGTGCAATGTCATGTACATGATGTACACAAACCAGCTCACCAACAGTTTGCAAGGCTGGGTCGGATATACACGCCAAAACAAAACAGACCGAACTGCCTTATATAATATATATTATATATATTATATATAATACTGACTTAGTGCATTTTTCACTGGGCCCTCTGGTTAGATTGAATATGTTTGAACTATGATTTGTCAGCCCATATTATGTTCAGCTGATATTCCAACAGTGCTCATCCTGGACTAACCTGCTGTGTCTGTTGTGAAGTTTGAAGATCTATTTGTAACGACGACTTTCTGCAAACTAGAAGAATTGAAGACCATTCAAACACACAGAGTCGTCCTCTCCCTCCTCTGACTGGACCCAGTCCAGCTTTAGTGTCAGGAGAACCTTTGAGCAGTGGTGTATGTTCAGATGGAGAAATCGATGTCATTTTGAAATCCTGCTGTATTCTCTACACTGTGTGTTTGACCTCTGTATCTTTTTGGAGCTGGTCTGACGCTGTGAGCATTGGGCCTCCTGTGCACAGTCAAAAGATAAAAAATGGTCACATGTTGCTGATGTGAGCGAGTTCTTCAAGGGGGGAGGTGGAGACTCACTCACTCGGCTAAGTGACAAACAGGAAGTTGGGCTAAGAGAGCTGAGGCCCAGATGAACGCTCTCTCATAAACTGAGGCTTATAACCTTATAAGGCCACGGTTTACTGAAACTGTTAGAAAATTCTCGATGTGTTGTTCATCTTTCTAAAGCTGAAGGATTCTGATGACTTCAGCTGGGTGAGTTTTTGATAACCTGTTTTCCTTTGCTACATTTTTTTAATAAATATTAGATGTCTAGTTTCTGGTGTTTTTTTTTAGGTGTATACTTACTCATTGTCTCTGCCGTCTACGTCATATTTTGGGAAGATGACATTCTTTGGTTTATTTCTGCCCTTCAATCAGCAGTGTAAAATCATCCCTGACCCAAAAACTTCTATAATATTGTGTTAGTTTTTCATGGTTCTCATCAAACAGGGTTGCTATGTCATGTTGAAACGTTTACACATCAGCTGCTTGTTTCCAGTAAGTTAGAGCATGTTGTGGTTGTAGTTGGTTACTTTCACTTTTAAACACACATTAAAATGTGACAAAAGTTGTGTTAGTGTGTCAGTGGAAGCCCAGTTGTCATGATAAATATGGTCTTGACCTATCGTTCTGCCCTGCAGTAGGTATCAGACTGTGTCATCATACAAGTCTGATTCCACAAAGTTGGGACGCTGTAAAAAAAACATTAAAGAAAACAATGCAATGATTTGTGAATGCTTTCAATTGAATAGAGCATCGTCTGTGCCAAACTGTCTCTGAGGGAAACGGTGAATACCGAATGTGCTCTCTGACGGCCAGTTTAATATCCACGGCCCAGTATTTCAAAGTGATCTGATAGGATTATCCTGGCCGGATTGGATTAAATCCTGATCTGATCTGAAAACTGGGTATTTCAACACAGATCAAAAGGATCCTGAGGATCAGGATTCAATTCTGGTAATCCAATCCTCCCTTTAATCCAGATAAAGGCTGCAATTAGGTATTTCAAAAGTTAAGGCAGAGATCTGGATCAATTTGATACCAAATTTCAGGATTATTTGGATCCCACCTCAGAGGTGGATTTGACAAAGCCTCAGCTCCACTTCTCCTAGATATTGTTACTCAAGTTGTTCATTACACTTAATCTGAATTAGTGTTTTAGTTGTAAGTAATTTCAAGCATAGAAAAATATTGTTTGGCTATACTTCCTGAAACTGCTGTAAATAAGAGGAACAAATACAGACCTATTTCTCAACATCTAGTTTCACCTAACATTGTAACTAAATGCAATGCAAAGCAAATTTATTTGTATAGCACATTCTTTTCTTTACACAGAGTACAAGAAACAACACAGGGATTGACATAATAAGCACATGGCTATTCAAACAAAGTATTAAAAAAGCAATTAGAAACAAAATGTAAATCAAAATATAGTCACAGAACCTAAAGACTGCTCACAGGTCTGAGGTGAGCTTCTTTTCCAGAAGTTTTATCTTCAATTCTGTCTCTCTCTGCTGAAGCAGCATCAGCTTGAGCTGCTCATCAGCCAGTTCAATTTGTCTCACCGCCCTCTCAGTCTCCATTCTCTGTCAGGAATCCACAATAGTCACAGACATTGTTTAAGTACAGAAAAGCATATCACCAGCATTACTGTAGCATACCCAAACGCAATCCTCTGACACTTCTGAATGAACTGCATAATTCATACTAGTACTGTGTATTTTTCCTATACAGTCCACTCTGCACACATGTAAAAAAAATTTTTTAAAACAGTCCGCTGTGTTGGCAATAACATAACGTTAAACTTTGAACAGGTTGGTGTTTAAAGAGTTCATGTATGACGTACTTCAGATTAATTCCCTTTTAAATTAAACCATAGAGCGCAAAATACATCAACAAAGCCAGCCACCTCGCTAGCCTGCTAGCTACTTAACATGCAAGTCAATGGAGCCGCACTAGCTACCGTTAGCATGACCTCGGCTCAATTAGAAATTGGTACGCCCACGTTTTAAATAGGTGACAATTCAAATAGCTGGCTCACATGAGATGGTGGGTGGCCTTCGTATGGTCTTAAAAACGCTACACATTAGGTGACGGTAAACTTACATTTTGATGTGAAAGCTGTGGTACCAACTGTTCCTTTCGTGAAGTATTTCATTATCCGGATTATTCTGATCCAGATTACAAGTTTTGAAATACTGGGCCCAGGAGTGAAAATAGTGGTGTGCAGTGCCTTATCATTATTACCTCATTTCTGCTTTTCAAAGGTTTACCTGCTCCCTTCAACGTCTGCCGTTATCGACTGATCATTCATGAGTTTCATTTTTGATATGTAGTTCTTGTTTCTTTAGAGTCTGAATCCACTCATTGTACACTGCTTTAGACAAAATGTCTGCCAAATGAATTTAATGTACTTAACTTGAACATGTAGATTATCACAAGTTTCATAACAGTAACCTCTCAGTTAAATATCCAGGGCCTAGTTGTTTGGAGGTAATCTGATTTCAGTTATCGGATTGGTTCAAATCTCGAAAATCGATTGTTCAAAAGAAAAAAAGGATTCTGAAATTGGAGGAGATCATTTAATTCAGTCGTAGGACATGTTTACACGAAAAACCTAATCATTTCTCATTTTTGTTTTCAAAAAAGGTCTGAGTTCAGACAACATTTTGATAACAATCGCTGTGCACACGGATCTACAAAAATTACCAAAAACGCTGCAGTATACATGCCAGGCCAGTAGTTGGCGGTATGACTTTGTAATGAAACGACACATACGCTTCGTTGTTCTGCAGAGTGGTGATGTATAAACAAACAAAATGGCAACTGCACTAATGTTTGGATGGACGACGAGGTGGAGTTGCTACTAGGGATGCACCGAAATGAAAATTTGTGGCCGAAGCCGAATAATATTAAACGCTTGGCCGAATACCGAGCACCGAATACCGAATATCGTTGTTTAGTTTTTCATTAGTTTCTGCAGATGAACCCCCTCCAGATTAGTGTTGTCACGGTACCAAAATTGGGACCCACGGTACGATACCAATTAAAGTATCACGGTTCTGAGTAGTATCATGATACCACAGCAAAAATGAGGCAGATGTGCCTTTTGTCATTTATAAAAAGATAAATCACTTTTCTATAATACATCAATGATATTTCAATGGAATAAATTACTTATTGACTTATTCATACTTCAAAAACAGCATCAATAAGTGATTAACATAGGGGGGAAAATAAAATAAAATAAATAAAATAAGAATCAACCAGCCACCCTCCTCCCCTGACAAGTAAAGAACAGTCCCTTCATAAGTAAAGAACAGTCCCTAAAGTGCGGTGAGGTTTGTGGGCCGTTACCTGCCACAAAGAGAGAAATGTGAACGGCTCATTTCTCCTCTGACACGTCACATACCTGTGTTCGGCTGGCTCGGCTGTTCAGGTACTTCTGGGCAGTCAAGACGCCAAGAAGAGGATATCATTGGAGCCGACTTCTCCGTCGCCGGTAAGCCGATGGCCGCCATATTTGACAGGAATACATTACTGTCTGTGTCTGTGACCCCTGTTCAACCCACAACCGGTGGGATTCGCCTTTCATTTCTGTTGGTGGTTGAAATCTGTAGGCTGCTCGCACAGCTTGCTGAATGATTTAAGCCTATTTTGCTCGCTCAAAACTATTTTTAGTCGCAAATGTGAGTGTTGTGACGGACGGATTGCCACACTGCCTACATTTTATTCCTCCCGTCTTGGCACGCTGTTTGATTGCTTTATCAAAACACGCCGCTATTATTCGGCCTTGCTTTTAACTTATTCCACCGAATACCGAATGTGTGTGTTTTTTTGCAATATTTGGCCGAATATATTCGGTTACCAAATATTCGGTGCATCCCCAGTTGCTACAGTAAATCTACACTTTGCTGGAGAAGTGTTGATAAATTCAACAAGGTGAGCAGCACAAACAGAGCTCGGGAGTCCGCCATTGTTGTTGTGATGGTCGATACCCCGCGCATGCCTCGTGACTGAAACCGTGATGCGCATGTGCGAAAAGTCTCCGTTTTCAGAGGAACTGCATATTGTGAGTTTACATGACAACGGAAATGGTGCTGTTTCCAAAAATTGCACTCTGGAATGCGTTCTCAAAACATTGTGTTTTCAGGCACCCAAAATGCCGCCGTCATGTGAACAATGCCAAAACGCAACTTAAGTTCACCATTTTTGGTTGAAATCGTTGTCGTATAAACGGGTCCTTAGATTTGATCTGAATCAAACATTTGGTATGTATTGTTCAAAACTTTGTGTAGGATTGGGATACCTTTGATCCCCCCCCCCCTAAAAAATCAGGATTATCCTGATCCCAGCAGGGAGCTGGATTCAGGCTGGATTTCAGGGACAAAAAGTAATAAACTTTTTAAATTGGTCAAATACATTTATTTATATTTTACACTTCATTTGTTGAACAGTTTCTTTGATAAAGTAGTGCCTATTACTACTACTGTTAATTAGGAAAAAAGGATGTTGGCCCCATAAAATAACCAAATAACCATCAAAATAAAATAAAATTATTTAAACATATAATCTCAAAGATCTCCGTTACCTTCTCTTTGGCAGCACCAGTGGCAATAAGTGATAACTGCATTGTGTTAGTTGGCAGACTGCCTACACAGTGATGTGTAGTCCCATTTAGAGTACTGGTTAACTGGATTTTGGTAATCTTTAAAAGTTCATATCTGGATCAGGGTGATCCAGTCCAATGTTGCTTTGAAAAACTGGCACATAAGTAAGATGGATCATCTTATCCTGGACAGCAAAACATGGGATTTCCAGATCTGGATCAGAACGATCCAGTTAAAATTTTTTGAACTGGGCCCAGAAATGAAGATGGTAATGTGCAGCATCTAATCATTATAACTTTAATGTTTTCACAGGCTTAACTGCTCATCACAGCATCCAACGTTATAGACTGACCATTGATGAACTCCATTTTTGATGACATCTGGCTCCGGTTCCTTTGAGCCCATGAACTGTAAGTTGCTTTGGACAAAAGTGTCTGCTGATCAAATTTAATGTATTTAACTTGAATGTGTGGATTGTCACAAGTTAAAAAAGACTGAATGGATGAAATAAATAAATAATTCCATAAAAAATAGTGTATACTCTCTGATATAAACTTTCTGTTTTATTTAAAGAGGAAGCCATAATGGCAAAACTGAAAGAAGAGCTCTGGAAAACCCTGCGGGACCTGAAAGAAGAGGAGTTTGAGAATTTCAAGTGGTTTCTCAAGGATGATGGAATCTTGGAGGGCTTGTCAGGCATCCCAGTGGCTCAGCTGGAGAAGGCAAAAAGGCAGGACACGGTGGATCTAATGGTACAGAAATATCCAGGTCCTGGAGCTCTGAAGGTAACCTTGAAGATTTTAGAAAACATCCACAGGAATGATCTGGTGCAGCGCCTTCAAAACCTCTGCTTAGGACCAAAATGTAAGTTGGGGTAAAGTTCTGATACGCAGAAGTGTCACATTCATCTTATAAATTATTGCATGAGTTATGAACATTCTGTCAGAAGAAGTATATTAACAAAAAATGTAAAGATTAAGTTATCATTTATTATGGTACACCACCATATGGTCATGACCATAGGTAACACGAGATGGTGATCACTCTGACAACTCTGCTCCTCTCTTCATCCGAGTGTTCAACAAACACCGATCAGCCACATCCTTAAAGGGATAGTGCACCCAAAAATGAAAATTCAGCCATTATCAACTCACCCATATGCCGACGGAGGCCCTGGTGAAGTTTTAGAGTCCTCACATCACTTGCAGAGATCGGCGGGGGCAGCGGCCAGCACACCTAATGGCATACGGCGCCCCACACTAATGTCCAACACAAAACTGAATCCACAAAGTATCTCCATACTGCTCATCCGTAATGATCCAAGTGTGCTGCAGCTGCGACATAAAAAGTTGTTTGGAAAATGTCATGTGAACTCTGTTTTTAGCCTCACTGTAGCCTGTAGCTCTGACTGCTTCTGTGCTCCGCGTTGACGTGCGCGCTCAGGGTGATCGGTGATGCACGGTCTCTGAAGAGCAGCAGTCTCGTCAGTACTGATGTCCAGATTCTCAAGTGCAGGCATCGCCAATTCCCAGTCTGAGCAGCAAAGACTTTCCTCATCCGTTGGCATTGCTTTGCATTTGAAACAACTACACCACCAGGTTTCCAGTGCTCGACTCTGGTATTCTGCGGCTGGCTGAGGGTTAGGCTCATGAGCTGCGGCGGCTGCTTCGTCCAGTAGCCTGAGTTCCGTCCGTATACTCAGGCTCAAACAAATACGGCTCAACAAAGAAATGCTGTTCCTCCTCAATTTCAAAGTCTTCAGACATGTTGGGCTGT